GAGGCATATGAAGGCAAGAAAAGCCGTGTCTGTAGCTGGGGGCCGCAGGCTCGCTTTCTCTAACTGTCCCCACAGTCAGTGCTGATTCTGGGAGGATCGTCAGAAGCACTTCCCCCATGAGCTCGCTTGGCGCTATGACTGCACAGCAGAGGGAAGAGGACAGGAAATGAAAGGCAAACTGGCTTTCTGCTCTCTCTCCAGGCGTCAGAGGGCAGAGCAGTAGACATGGACTCTCTCTCAGCCTGAGTACTGGGACTGTATTTCCTCAGAACATGGAAAAGCTATTGCCGCACTTGGCTCGGATCTCCCCCTAATCCATGCCATCAGATTAGTACAGGGCTCCAACTACATCGTGAGACTAAGACCATTTACAAAAAGCACATTTACAACAGATAGAAAAGTCAATGGCCCTGAATGGTAAATCCTGTCATTAACCCAAATGGAGTCTGGATTTGTACACTAAAGAATTACATAAATTTGCCTTTGCAGTTTTGTTCTTTAACAAAATTAGTAGCTGCCTCGGTGGAGCTGGGATTCTGGATAAAGCTTCCACAGCCCAGGATGCTGTAAACCTGTGAGCACTTGAGGATGTCAGCCTGCCTTCCAGAACATTCCTCACTCTAACTCTGAGCTGTGTCTTCCTTCCTCCCATTGTCTTGACACCATCCTTCCAGAAGCACGTAAGAGATGGGTCTTAAATCGAAGCATCTCCACATATCAGAGCCCTCCTGCATTCTGCACTGACTAGACCGCTGTGGACATACTGTCCAGTACTTGGTCTTTACTCATTTTGGTACTGTAACAAAAAACATCTCTGCTCTCTAAAACACAGAAACCTGCACCAGAAACCTCCCTGGCTCTCCTCCAGCTGCTCTGGCAATGCCAGCCTGCGTGTTACCCCTCTGCCCCCTGGGACTTGGATGCATTCTCAACTAGAATGGGGGTAGAAGAATGCTCTTTGTACCTGGGCCTGAGGCTGGAGAAGGTGACCCATGGCTCCTGATGAGGTTCACAGCCTCAGAAACCGAGGATGTCGCCTTATGAAGCAAAGGGGCATTTGCAGATTCGAGGATAGTAACATTTTTGAGATGTGAGCGTGATCTGGGTGGATCTTCTCATATGAGACAGCGGAGTGAGTCAGAGAGGGTGATGTCTGAAGCAGTGGTCAGAACAGTGTGGCCTGTGAGCCTCTAGATACCGAGGGGAGAAACTGTAGGCAGAGACCATGATGTCCTCAGGCTGTGGATGGAGGGAATGGCTCTCCTCAGAGCCTCTTGAACCACTGACCCATTTAGACTTCTGACTGCCTGAGTTAGCAGCTATCAGAGTGGAAGTCTGTGCACGGTGGTGTAAATAGGAAACCAGCCGTAGCTGCATGATTGTAAAAAACAAAGCAAGGGTGCCCTCATTATCAGCAGAGAGGAGCGAGGTGTGGTGTGGGGCTCTAGGAAGAAGAACTCTGCAGGAGGCTAGGGTGGCAGAAGCTCCTGGCCGTACAACTGAAGCAGACTTCTCCCTGTTGCACAAGCCATGTGAGCTACTTCAGGCACATCATGCAGGTCAAGGATCTGGCGGGGGATGGTGCCTAATAGAGAGCGTTACAAGTTATGGGACTGAGGACAGTTTCATTCAGGAACTGCTCATTCCTCTCCCATGTCTCATCTCAATCTGTTACACTGACTTTAAAATATTTATTTATATATCTGTTTGCTTTTGAACAGGGTCTCATGTAGCCCAGGCTGGCCCCAAATTCACTATTTAGCTGAGGGTAAACCTGACCTGATCTTTTTGCCTCCGCCTCTCAAGAGCTCAGATTACAGGCCTGCATTGCCTGGGGTGCAGAGAATGGAACCCAGGGCCTTGTGCATTCTAGGCAAGCCCTCCACCAACTCAGCTATATCTCCAGATTGATTTTTCACTCATCGTTTAATTTCTTCTAAAATTACATTCATTTGTTTACTTATTTTATGTGTGTGTGTGTGTGTGTGTGTGTGTGTGTGTGTGTCACATGTGGACCTCAGAGGATAACTCACTGGAGTCGGTCTCTCCTTCGATCATACGGGTCCTAGGGATATAATTAGGGTCCTCAGACTTGGTCCAAACCTGTTGGGCCATCTCACTGGCCCCATTGGAGGATTTTAAAAATAAATTTGACTTAACCAGGCCCACTCAGCCTTCTGTGTTTTGTGGGAGTGTACACACACAAATAAAATTTGAAAAGCCACTTTAAAAGCTAAAAACCACACATGCCAGTGGTTCAGTTTACTCAGGCTTTTAAAAAGCCCAAGTGCTAGGTCTGGGTGATGGCATACACATCAGGACCCGAGTGTAAATACAGCTGGCACAGCGGCTCCTGTTTGTAATGCTAACGCTGGGGAGACAGACAAGGGAGGACCTCTGGAAGTCACCTCTGGAAGTCACCTCTGGAAGTCACCGGGCAGCCTGGACTACTTGGCAAGCTCCAGGTGAAAGTGAGAGACTGTTTGAAAAGCAAGGTGGACAGCATTCCTGAACAAGGAAACCTGAGGCTGACCCCAGGCCTCTATGCACACACGCATACTCACATGCATACACACACCTCTCTGCGTCTACCTCACCACTGGAACCCCACTTCCTACCCTGTCTCTTGTATGCCTCTCCAAAGGGCCCTGGCTTCCCTCTGGCACAGCAAACACACTGCCCTACTTCAGCTTGGACCAACTACACCAAACGCCCCCCCCCCCAAACCGCCACAGCTTTGTTTTCAAACTCCCTTCCCCGTGACGGTCTATCCTTTACACAAGTAAGGAATCTACATTCAAAGGAACCACCCTGGGTCACAGTCTCTGTGAGATTTCTGAGCTCCTCCATAGCTCATTTCCCTCTTTCTTACCCCTCCCGTCTATCCAGAGTACATATCTAGTGTAGCACTTATTTTACCTATTGGATGCCTGACTCCCAGCTTTGGATCAAAGCCCTCTGAGGGAACATTTTTTGATGTTTACTGTGGGGGGGGGGCGGTGGGGGGAAGGGGGTGTTGCTGCCAGAGCCTGACGTACCAGGGGCTGGAAAACTGTGAATGAAAGAGGTGTGTGTGTGTGTGTGTGTGTGTGTGTGTGTGTGTGTGTAGGAAAAACTAAAGATGAGGTGTGTGTGTGGGGGGGTTCCTAAGACTAGGGATGGGAAGAGGCTGACCCTAGACAGGATGGATCAGGTGTGCAAGGGGGGTTGGATCTATACACTCAGGGGCCAGCTTTCTACCTTCCATTTTCTGTGGGGGGAGGAAGTAAGAGGGACAGAATGTCACAGAATGGTAAGTGAATGGCAATTGCTAGGGCAGAGAGCTGTCTGAAGACACTGCAGGGTGACTTAGGCACTAGCCACAGAGGCGTCCTGGTGCCTCCTCCTCAGCAGCCTCAGGAGCTCAGCAGCAGGAGAAAGGGGTGCTGTTTGGCCATTCAGGGCTGAGGAGGAGGCAGGAGGACCGGACAGAGTCATGGCCCCTTGCCAAGACTTTTGGAAGTTGATCAAAGTATCTGTGCTGATGCCAGGGAAGGGATGGAAGACAGGACAGGGCTGAGGGGTCCAGGGGGAGCCAGGGCTCCTATGGATGCAGGAGACACTATGGTCAGAGTGGGACTCTAAGAAACAAGGATGGGAGGCAAGATTCCCCCCTGGGCAGGGGACGGGGCTGTGCTAGAGTGAGGGGCTCATGTCACGAGGGCCACCTGTGTGGGACTTCAAAATGAACGCACAAGTTACAGGGCTAAGAAATGTCTCCATCTGTCAAATGGAGAAGTCGAGGCAGTAAAAAGCTTGAGGCAACATCACCATCTGCAGCCTACAAGGTTCTGAAAAGGGAAGGGACAGACCCCATGTCATGCCCCTGACACCTACTCCCCACTTCTCCTCAACTTTGGGGTGGCAATGTGCTTAGCCTGGGTCCCCTTTATCCAGACTCCCTGGCAGGGGCCACATGGCCTAATGCTGGCCAATGAAGTACAAATAGAAATCTTGGGAAGAGAGGGATTCTGGGAGAAATTTTGCTTTCTCCCTAAGAAGGAAAAGAGCCCAGGGCTCACATTCTGCCTTCTTCCCGCTTTGGATACAGAGGCAAAGTTTGGAGCAATGGCAGTCATTTTGGAGTCACTGGGTAAATGCCAATGGTTGAAGGTGTGGAAAGGCCTGGGTCCCTCAAAGCACCAAGCAGTTGCAGCACACCTGATCTTGTTACCAGAAAAACAACTCAAAATTTAACTAATTACACCTGGACACATTTCAAAATCTCCCAAGAGCACGCTGCCCTTCAAACAAGAGAAGGCCGCTGGCAAGGCCACAAGCAGGGTTATGTACTTCCAGCAAGATTCAAGGAAAATGAATTTTAAAGGCCCCACACTGAACCCCAGTTCCCTTCTCCAAAGGCTGTGATCAAATTGGGAAGGCGGGGACAACGCACATAAGTGTGTACGGGTTGTGTGTGTTTGTGTGTGTGTGTGTGTGGGTGCTGGCTGACAAGTCTTGCTCAGCAATTGAGGGTGGGCAGGTGCCCAAGCCTGGTCCCCTCTCTGAGTTCTGCAGACGACCACCCCTCTCTGCTCTGAGAGGCCCTGCTCTGAACCGGGATGAGGGCATGCTGGTACATTTATTTACACCGCGCTGGCCCTTTTATGTCAAACGCGGCATCCACCAAAGGCTTTTTAAAGAGCCTGCCGCAAGCTGAATGCTGGATGAGAAGGCGTCTCCGCTTCCCTCCGCCATCAGGCTCCCTGCCCCCCACGGTCAGTGGAGACTCGGGGAAGAGAGCCTCATATCCGCGCGGAGAGAGGACCCAACGGGGGGCAGAGTCCCAAGGAGCGGTCCCGCCCCAGCACACCTGCTGGCTGCGCCTTTCCACCCGCCCCCTGGGAGGGGCTCAGCATCCTCCCACCCCGGGCGGTGGAACAGGTCCCACGCGGGTCCTCCAGCCCCTCTGAAGGTCGGGCCCACGAGAGCTCCCCATCCACCCTCCAGCTCGCACTCACGCTCCACGTCATGCAGCTTTGCCCGCTCCTCCTCCAGTTTGCCCTTGAGGCTCTCGGCCTCGCTCTTCAGCGACGCCAGCGTCTCGTTCTCATGCAGCCCATCGGTTGCCATCTTCGTCGGGATGCAGCCGGGAGAGAAACGCAAAGCGGGAGACTGAGAGCCGATGCCGGGGCTGGCCGAGAGGGCCGGCTCAGCAGCAGCCTCCGTGACCCCGAAAGCCTTCCCGGGTCCGCCCCCTCGGCGGTGACGCGACCGCTGCGGTGACAGACTTCCCTGGCTCCGCCCTCCGCGCCCTCCCGGAGAACCAGGCGGGGCTATGGGGTATGGATGGAGGCTTGGGGGGTACTGAGGCTCAGTGATCCCAACTACGCTTTCCTCGCTCCAGGACGAGCCCAGTGAAGTCGAAGCGATACAGCCTAGCACTCTGCATCCCCAAACATTGGGGCAGGATGCGTCAGAAACCTGTCCCACAATTCACCTGTCAGAAACATTCTTTTTAAAAATGAGTTCTGGTTGCCGGTTTCCTGGGATGGGGCAGCAAAAGCAGGGGTGGGTGGCACACCCTGATGGGATCAAAGGCATCCTTTCTTTTGGAATGAAGCCTTGCTTATTGTGACAGAGTACAGACTACAGTGACCCCTCTCCACCTACATACACTTCCCTGGGCTTAGGTACCCTGGTGACTCTTTTGATGCCCACTGGAGTGGGCATCAAAGAATCTTAGACACCTCCAGCCCCCTATGGGAAATAGGCCCAATAGGCAGTGACCTCTAGGTATTAGAAAGAGGGAAAGGAAGGATTTGGACCCAGGGTTCACCAACAGTCTCTGCACTTAGGTTTCCTTCCTTTCCTCTGTGACATTTAGGATGGAAAGGAAGATCAAGTTTGCACATTCTAGACGGAACAGTGCGAAAGCAATCTCCAGTGTTCCCCCACACCCTGCCCCCACCCTCCAGTTCTGGGCCTTCTTAGTCGGAGAAGGAATTTGTATTAATGTATATACATTGCTATCTTTTAGGTAAGATTCTGAGAGCCTCCATTTCCCTACCTGGAAAATCTAGTTCCTAGTATCTACATCCCAGGGCTTTTAGAGAATTAGATATTGCAGAGGCTACTCTAGGTGACTTCTCTATATGTGACTGCCAGCCCCTTACTCCTTTTCCCTCCATAGAGGGTTATCTGCCATCCATCTTTCTTCCCTCTGTCTCTCTGTTGCTGTGTCTTTCTGTCTCTTTCTCTCTGTAGCCCTGCCTGTCCTGGAACTCCCTTTGTAGAGTAGGCTGGCCCAGACAACATATTGCTTTTCCTGCCTCTGCCTCTCAGATGCTGGAATTAGACATGCGCACTGCCATGCCCAGAAGCAGTTTATCCTCATAGTTTAACAGAACACTGACATATAGAAATAGTTCAATTAAACCAGGTGGTGGTGGCACACACCTTTAATCCCAGGACCAGGAGGCAGAGGCCAGCCTGGTCTACAGAGTGAGTTCCAGGGTGGTCAGGGATATTACACAGAGAAACCCTGTCTTGAAAAACCAAAATAAATAAATAAATAACATAGTTCAGTTAATGCTAGCTTTTTAAATGGATGTATAGAACATGCTATATAAGTGTAAGTGTATGTATATAAAGTGTACATGTATAGAGAACAAGGGGCTGTGGTGATGGCTCAGTGGTTAACAACACTTGATGCTTTTCCAAAGGACCCAGGTTCGATTCCCAACACCCATATGGTGGCTCTGTAATGCCAGTTCTAGGAACCCAATGCCCTATTCTGGATTTACTAACTTAAGTCATGCCCACGGTGCACAGTGAACAGACAGACATGCAGGCAAACCTCTAGTACACATAAACTAAAAATTTATTTAATTTTATTTTATGTAGTGAGTGTTTTGTCTACATGTATGTCTGTGTACCACATGTGCGTGGCATTTACTCCTGTCAAATCAGGAAATGGTGCATTACCACCTGTTACCAGATGGGAGCTCTCATGGGCTTCTGAGACAGGGACTGGTTTCCAGGGCTGAGGACATTTTGGGAGGTGATCTGAAGCCTGGGAAGGACTTTTGGCAAGGACTAGACTCAATGTACTTTGAAAAAAGAAGTCAGGATTTCTGTTCAGTTCCTACCTAGCTTGGGCTCAGGAGCACTGGAGTTTAGTTTTGCTCTCTGCTTAGACTGGGCAAGATCAGCTTGGCTGTCTGCACCGCTAAGACAGGGAGCATGGACAGGTCCCCCAGGACTGTTTATCTACCAGAATTTCCTCTAGCTTAGTGGTTTGCTAGGCAGACTGGGAGGAGACAGGAGCATAACTCATCAGTCCTAGGAATAAGGGCTTGTTAGGAGTGTGTTATAACACCTTGCTATGACCTCACATGACCCTTACAGAGCCCTAGGGTACAAACCTGTTAGCATTCCTATTTCACAGGTGGGAAGATAGGCCTCTGGAGATGGGTGGCAACTGGTCTGGACCCCAGGTAGACACCAGAGTCACACAGGGCTTCCCAGAGCCTGGGGACACATCCTATAAACCTACTCTATGTAAGCTGTCTGTCCCAGGCCTGCATGAGACATCATTAAGGCAGGAAACTTGAGAGAACAAAATGGAACAAAAGCACTCACAATCTCTGCACACATGGAGCAGTAGCTGAGCTGTTGGGATTTCTTGAACACAGGCCTGAGGGCTCTTTGTTTGAAGCATTTGTCACAGGAGCCGAACACATTAACCAGGAAGGTCTGATCACACATCTTGCCTGAGATGAGGCTGAAGAACAGGGGGAAAAAAAAATGATCCGGGTGTGGGTAAGACAGGGTGTGCTTCTGGGGACCCAAGCCTCATCTTCATGCTACCTTGTTCTACACCTCCACACATGGGCAGAGTTCACAGTGAGTGCTGGCTTCTGCTTTACTGCAACACACAAACCATGTGCTCAACAAGAAAGATGGACAGCCATCTTTCTGAAGTACACATGGTTAGCTGGCTGTTTGCGCAGCTTGCCTACATCCTTACAACTGCTCTTTGGAGCACAGTGGAAAACATTGTAGTGCATAATACCGTCAATTTCTTAACATTTAACAGTATCTATCTTCTTTTCACTTTTATACATTTTTATTGGTATGTGCACTCACTCAAGTGCTGTGACAGAAAAGATGAGGATCAGGGGACAACTTGAGGGAGTTGGGGAATAGATTTCAGGTTGGCAGGCTTGAGGGCGGGCATCTTTGCATGCTAAATAACCTTGTCAGCCTTTTCTGATTTTTGATGCAAGGTTTCATGTAACCCAGGCTGGCCTCGTACTTGTACAGTATCAGAGGGCAACCTTGAACTTCTTGATCCTCCTTCCTCTCACTGCAGAGTGCTGGGGTGTCAGGCATGCCCCACCTCACTTGGCCTATGCAGTGCTAAGAATGTGCTAGACAAGCACTCTACCTACAGAGCTCTCTCCAGCCTGGAGAGCCATTTGAAAACTTCCACAAACGTTCCTCCCCGTGGTGGAAGATTTTGGATTAAAGAGTCAGAAAATGGGCCTGATCCAGCCAGAGGAAGGAGGCCATTTGTGTGGTACTGGCTTCCTGCAAAGTGGGCATTTGTATCTATTAAACACGGCAGCCAAAGCCTTCAGGGCCCCAGTCTGTGAGCGCCTGAGCAGACTGACTTAGAGCTTGGATGGTGGCTTTGGGAAACAGCTCCACCAGGGGGTTATAGACCTGAGCTCCTGACCACCCAGGTTCTGGTTCCTCATTGAGGCCAGTTGTCATGGCTCCCCTGAAGTTTTGTTTACTGATGAATCAAATAAATATCTTTAGAACCCCTGTAAGGCTGGCGTGGGACTTATAAAAAATGGTACCTGAAGGGCATTCAGGTTGGAAGCTGTGAACCAGTCAAAACCACACTGCACCCGTGAGTGGCAGCAACAGGAGTCGCAGCAGCCTTAGGAAGAGGAAAGAGACAGAGTAGGCGGTGGCCACACATGAAGGCTGGCTAAGACACCATGGGGTGGCTTGGACAGAGATTAGGAAAGAGGAGGAACTGGACTCGAAGGGGAGATGGCTAGCATATGGCTTCAGTTTCCTTTGGGGGGTTGCAGTGCTTTGTTGAAGAAGGTTACCAGGGAAGGAAGCAGGCAGCCCAGTCCTGCTGATTTAATAGCTGTCCCAGAGAGAGCCCCATCTTAAGATTCAAGGAAATTACCCATGAGCGTACTACGGGGTCACTGGACTAAACATGCCAACAAAGGAGAGCAGAGGAGGTGTGTTTTGGTTGGAGGTGACACTGGAGATACTTGGAAGAGTGCTTTATAGATGTGGGCAACGTTGTGGCCCGCTATACCTGAAGATGAGGTGACAAGGGAGTAGAAGGCAGACCCTTAGGGACAGAGATCACAAGGGAGCAGATACTGACTGCCCCAGAGGGCATAGCTGACGCCTCCTGCGGCCTCTTCCCAGGGAGGCAGAGAACAGGGGGTTGAACAGTGGTTTCAAAGTCAGAGAGAGAGAGAGCTACCTGTCAAACTGTGAGGCTTGTCACAAAGAGTGAGACATAGGGACAACGGGCTGGGATGATGGCTCCATCAGGGAAGTGAGCGTGAAGACTTGTCTTTCATCCCCAGAGTCCAAGCAAAGAGAGACAGAGAGACAGAGAGAGAGAGAGAGAGAGAGAGAGAGAGAGAGAGAGAGCTTGGGGCATGGTGAATGTCTGCAGCTTCCCAGCCGTGCAGGGGCTCTGCCAGTCTCAAGGACGAGCTGAGACATCAGGTAATAGCATTAGGGAGCAGTCTCTCAACCGCATCATCCAGGGATTTGTTCTCCCTGAAGTAGGTCAGGGAGAGAACTGCTGTGGGGAGCTGACCCACAGGAAGAGATTGTGTCCTAAGAGGAAGTGACTCTCAAGGACTGAAGGCCAAGAGCATCTCCAAGGGACAAACGCCATACAGAAATAGGTCAGGGGGAAGGTGGTTACGGGAAATGAAAAGGGGTGTTCCAAGTTTGAATAGAGACGATATTACTTTTCTTAGTCTAAATTCCAAGTCACAGGAGGTATTTATAATGTTCAGTATAAATAACTAGAAACAGAAGGACGTGGAAATAATGACCTCTGTGCTCTGTAACAGGTCCTGGGCCTGTTCACGGGTCACATTCTCTCAGAGTCTTCATAAGCATAGCTACTTTAAAGGATCAGGGCGTGGAAGGGCTGGTGAAAGGCTTCGAAGGTGTGTGGAGGTGCCAGGCCTGACAAGCTTGAGTCTGATTCCCAGAACCTAC